GTGTTCTTGCTGGGTGTCCCATGCATTCTTGTACCTTTAAGGAGTGGGCTCCCTTCTGGCACACTTGCCCTTAATCTATCCATTACTATATATGCTCCAACTTGAGAGACTCTAATGTTTAGAGTTAGGACTGCAATACACTGGGGTGCCCTGACATGGCTGCTGCAGCTTACACAAATTTGTAAATGTGTGCAAACTAAACCCTTGTTTTTAACATGAACTTTTGGACAGAGTAAATTTGGTTTTGTTGCAGGCTGGCTAGTAAGTGAGCTGGGAATGTGTGTTTTTGACATGTGTTGCTCCTTCCATGTGCTCCTTGCTGTAAAGGCTAGTTATAGGTTGGGGCAGTTGCTATTTGTTTGTATAGTTGCCTGGGTGACTCTGGCCTCAATACTTTGAGCCACTGTTAGCTGCCAGTGATGTTGGAACTCATGATCTAATTTAATCAACAGTATAATGCCAAAACCTTTAGCTTCAAATTAGCAGGGCAGCACAGGCTAACACACTAACATGCCCAAGGCAATACAGCTCCAATGCGCTATAATGTGCTACTGTTCATTGTGGTGCACTGCATTTGTGAAAATGCTGCATGTCTGTGCTTGTGCATTGGAAGACCATGCAAAACTGATAAGTTGCCTTAATGCAAATTAAAGGCAAAACTTTTTTTTTTCTTCCCATTTTGGATAAGGTAAGGGGAGATTGTAACCCCGGTAAGGTTTATTCTTGCTATCTGTGTCCCACTAGGGAGAATTCCCTTTACTTCCTGTACTGGAGACAATGGCTACTAGTGAGGGTGACTCTCTCCAGATGGGACATGGACAGCCATAAAAACCTGACAGACATTCTAACCTTTCCACAACATATGCATTACATACACTTTAAAGACAAAGTTCATGAACAAAAAAAAAAAAAAATTAATTAATATTTTTGCAGGCAATGTACATTTATATTTTTTTTTCTCACAGAAGCATGCAGATCAGTGGATCATGGATGCAAAGTCAGGGTCCTGCAGACTCTTCCTACAGCTCTGTACAAGTTGTCAGTTTCAGAGCTGTAGGATGTATCAATGGACTACAAGCATACTTGCAGTCCATTGAAACTACAAATCTGTCTAGTTCATTCATTTGCAGATCCCTGTGAATGAATGATGCATCTATGCAAGCAGAGCCCGGCACAGCAATGCAAAATGAAATGTGACAGTGCCTGCGGGGGAGAGGGACTCCCACCTGCTGTCAAATGGGGGGGGGGGGGGGCTAAGGGGGCCTGCTTGAACATGATATACCTTAAGTACGGTATAACATGTAACATGTCTAAAGGTGAACCTATTATTCTTTTTAACGTGTATTGATATTGAAGCTGTTCACTGATCAGCACTAACAGCTGAGCAATTATTTTCCAAAGTCAGTAGTGAAATCCAAAATATTTCATAGCAAAGCTTTGCTTGACAAAAAGAAGCAACTTGCAGCCAGTGGGGACTATCTTTCGGCAGGCAGATACCAACTGAACAAGTACATCACTTTAATATTGTACTAGGATCAGAAATAAAACATTGGGAATTATTTATTTGGGAACTGCCAGCTGGCAGCTTCTCAGCCAGGCTTCCAGGAGGGTCCAAATGGCCTACAGGTACAATAGAAAAATGAATTTTTTAATAGTTCACTTAGTTTTTTTAATATCTGTTGAGAATCCTTAACTGCATATGCCATTTTCTCAAAAAGGTGAACTTAGCCTTTTTAGGGCCCATGCATGTAGCCATTTTAACAGTGTTTCCACAAGGATATGTGCTAAAGGCCATAGCAATTATATATAATTCCATATGCATAAGGCCCCTTAGGGCTGACAGATCGGACCATCCATTGCCCTCTATGGAGCAGATATAATACGGACATGTGTACGTTTACACCTGCCTGCATCCGATCCGCTAAAAACAGACGGATGGGGATCCGTTACCATCCATCTAGAGCAGGGGTGGGCAACTGTGGCCTTCCAGCTGTTGGTGAACTACAAGTCCCATCATGCCTTTGCCTTTGGGAGTCATGCTTGTAACTGTCAGTTTTGCAATGCCTCATGGGACTTGTAGTTCTACAACAGCTGGAGGGCCACAGTTGCCCACCCCTGATCTAGAGGATCAGATGATAGTCAGATGTAAACGGAAAGTCGGTCTGTTTACATCTGACTGCCCATAGAGGAAAACAGGCGGTGTCCGCTGTGTATAAGAGGAATTAACATGGACCTGTCATCCATTTGCTCAGCGGAGATCAGCGGACAGATCCCCCGTTGAGAAGGCGGATCCGCTGGCAAAGTCCACCCAAGTGGAATGGGCCTAACAGTACACATCTGAGCCCAGCTAAAGCCATTTATTTTTTTTTTTTTAATGGATAGCGTGGGAAAGATCTAAGAACCTGACATCAATTTTGCTTGTGACTGTAAACTCATTAGGGAGATTTTCCTGTTCCTGTAACACCTATGGAAGAAATACAAGTTGTGGTAGTCACCAGGAAACAAATGCAGGAACAGAATTAAAAAAGCCTCCTTCCCCACTCTAATAAAAATGTGTTTGTTTTTTGTTCATGTACCTGTTGGGACAGATTTCTCATCACATCCTATCCTGACAGGGCTTTAATCTCTGTGGTAAAGGTGGCCAGTACAACAAACATATCACATCTGTGCAGACTGTACAGCATATGAACTGGTGTCCACTCACATATGAAATGATAAAATCCCTGGTGTGTCAATATAGGCCATCAAGCTATGCACAGATGAAATGTCTTGTGTATTTTGTGTTCCATCCTTAAATATATATAAATACAATAGAAGTGGGCAGGAGTAGCGAGTCACTGTTGAAATAACCAGTTTGAGCAAACGGGCTGCTTTTCTGAAAAGGGCTGAATACATAATGAGGTATATATTTAAATTGGCATTCCTAGATTGTATAGGCAGTTAATTGTTTCAGGGCCCCCACATGAATCATAGCCAGACAGCATTCAGTTACCATTTAGTCATCTCAGTAAAAATATGGGGGCACATTTGAAGAATGTTGCTTGACACGTTAAATGTACTGACTAGTGTAGCCTTACTATAGCAACCCCTGCTATTGCTGCTGCAGAAGAGTAGATTGGTAACTGAAGCTGCACAAACAAGGTGTTCTTTCACAGACTGCGGGTGCCTAGCTATATATGTATGTGGAATATAAATTAAAAAACAACAGCAGGATATGAGACAGATAGAATGGTTAACACTGTATACTGTCGCCCTACCTGGGGCACGGTCCCAAACCAGCTAGGTTGATATATTGATTTTATGACTTACAATAGCTTTCCAGGAGGGATACCCTCATCAACACTGACCCATGGTTGCAGGAAAGAAAATCGCATCTGCTACAGTCACTTTGATGAGCCTACAACTTAGTGATATCAACCAGATAGAAAGTTTATAATGAATACAGTTTGCTTTGAAATACATCCTAAACCTGAACCCAGCCATTATTTAACACTTAAAGACAACCTGCCAGCCTAGAAATACAGCATCTTCCATTGCTTTAAAGGATTAGTTCACCTTTGGAACATAATACACCTGTATTTAGGTTTTCAGCTCCTGCGTCCTCTCCCCACACCCGCTGTCACAATTCAAAAACAGTGCGCTCTCATAGTTAATTGATTCTGCCTGAAATTCAGTAATTGTCTATCGATACGGAGTGTCTGCAGGATCCTGGTTTTGAACCTGTGATCTGCTGAGGATTACAGGCTGTAGAGTAAAAAATATAAATGCACATTTTCTTACCTGCAAAAAGATGTGTGATTATTCTTTTTTAAATAATTTGCCTTTAAGGATGTCAGTCTCATTACTTTGTGAGTCACTATCACCAGACAAACATGTTTCAGGGTTCCAACACCTGATATGCTCATGCTTATTCTAGGTCAGTAGCATCAAGTAGTGTTGCAAGAATAATGACACAGCCATGGAGCATACAACTCTGTAAACAAGCCAGCAACAGCAGTGGACATATTTCTATCCTGACAAGTTTACTTTTCTTATTCCAATACTAAACTTGCACTTAAAAATACAATATTCCCTTATTAGGTTTAGAGCACATGGTCTCATGTCGAGAAATAAGTCAGCTTAAGTTTCAAAATTTAAATCTACTGAATACTTTATGGGGTGATGTGGCCAAATATTTCTGAGCTTTCTAAATATTACTTAAACCATTAAAAACAAGACCAGAATCTACATTGTGATATATTATTTTTCTGCTCTGCCACCAAAAAGAACAATAAAAATAATTCTTCAACATAACACAAAAGTAGAAGACAAATACATTTCATCATAAAAATATACAATGTTATAATTTACAGTGTAAACAGTTGCACTCAAAAAGAAGCTTTTATTTTCTGCAGCTCTGCTGTATACACACTGAAATTCTAAGGACAGCCTGGATAAATACAAGCAAAGCACATCACATTTGGTTGAATTGCTTAAATTTAGAAAAAAATGGATATCACTTAGAAATAACCTACATTATGATATCTTGTAAATCATGAAAAAATTAAATTGTAAGTGCTTTACTGGAAAAGTGACTACAGATTTCTCTCTCGTATATTTAGAAATGTGACATTCACCAAACATTAACTACAGGTCTATGTTCCTGGTGCACCGGTTTTAAATCCATGTTATTGAGGCACATGCAGTAGATGTTTGGGGAAAGGAACATTCACTGCTTTATAAATACACCCCCTGGACATTTGCCATCCATGTATGAGATATACTGTGTATGTGTATATAGCTGTATATACATCTGTGTGTATGTATATATATATGTACATATATACATACACACACACACACCTGTGGATAATAAAGAAAATCAAAAGAGTCAGTGGTAAGGCTCATTTACAGAAATGTGATGCATGATGGATTATTCCGATGAAACAGCAAGAACCAAAGTAAAACATAGGTGTTCCTGGATAGAGTTACTTCTACTTCTCCAAGTAATTCCAGTGTCCTCAGGAATGTAAGCTGCGTCTTCCTCTGGTACCCAATGACACACGAAGCCTTGGCTCTCTAGCTTTATAATGTTCATTGAAGTCCAACCTAAAGCTCAGAAACCGAAGGCTTTCATCTGTGTTTGTAGTCAGTAAAACTAAAAACTGCTGCACAATACCCTAAAGAGAAAAAAGGATACAGAAATTCAATGGTTTTAGGCATAAAAATACAATTTTTTGTACTTGCCATAAAATATTTTTCTAACTTGCCCACTGAGGGACACAGGAATTCAGAAACAGTCGGGGCTATACTGCCACCTACAGGAGGTTGGGACACTGGAAAACACACAACTGTAAACCAGCTCCTATATAATCCTTGCTCTATCAAGCCTCGGTTTTGTTAAAGGATAAGTTCACTATGGGGAACATATGACATATTCCACCTGTTTTTAGGTTGGAACATGTAACATGTTCCTGCTCCAGCTGCCGCTTGCTGCTCCCCTCTCTCCCTGTGACAGCAGTACAGGGAGAAGTTCCCTGTACCAGCTGTCACTGTTTGAAAAGAGCGCGGCTGTGCAGGGCTCCGTCCACATGACCATGTCATTCATTCACAGAGTTCTGTGAATGGGAAACTACAAGTGCCGATATCCTTTGTGGCTGTCAGCTTGTAGTCCTCAATGAACTACCACAGAGCTGTTGAGCGCTCCGAAAGTTCATTGATTCTTCCTGTCAGTGTGAAACTGCCTGCCTGTACAATGTAAGAGCAGACAGCTTACCCTGACAGTCTGCAGGAGCCTTTCATTGCACCAGCAATCTGCTTTCCAATGCTTTTACCTGCATTTGTTATTTACTTTTTTGTAAAAAGTGAACTTATCCTTTAAGGAAACAATACACACTGCCATCAAGAAAACAAAGTGGGACCTGTGTCTCTCGATGGACTCCCAAGATTTTAAAGTGATTGTAAACCCTCACCTTGTAAAACAACCCATTCAGTTTAAAATAGAAATGAAAGGACCTCTAATCTATGGCAGCAGTCACACCAGGCTTAGAACAGCAGCATGTAGAGGGGTGGAGCCTCAATATGGCGGCACGGGAGAGTGTGTAGTAAGCACTCTCCGTTAGCCTCCCCTCGTTTATCCGCCCCATGAGGCCTCGACAGAGTGACCAGCTGCATTGAGGGAGTGCGGGGACTCACCTGCTGGAGAGGGTTCACGGAGTCCCGGGGACGGTCGGATCCAGGAGAGTGCCGGGAGAGAGCCGGGAGAAGGATGCCTCAGGGTTTCCCCCTGACGCCCTGCGGCGGCTACAGAGGAGGAGTGGGGTTGCCAGGGAGACGGTCGGACAGCCTGAGCCAGGAGAGAGCCGGGAGAAGGACACCTCGTGGTTTCCTCTGGCGTCTTGCGGCGGCTTCGGAGGAGGAGCAGGGTTGCCAGGGAGACGCCAGTGAGTCGGTCGAGGCATTGGAGCGGCGCCGACACGTGGGAAGCCGCGGAGGAGCCCTGGGAGCTCCGTGTAAGAGAGAGATTGCCCGGCATCTGAGCAAGTGGGTGAAGGGGTTGAGAGTAAAGGACATACTGCCCCCACAATATAGCCCAATTTCCACATCTGCATACCATCTCCCTGTTTCCTCTATCCACCCTACCTACCTCCACACCATCTCCATACCATCTCCATACCATTTCAGCTTTACAATCTTATATTACCATTCTCATAATACGGCTAAACATCCTAACTTCCACATTACTCTTTTCTCTATTCAACTATTAACCTGCATACCACCTCCAATTTAAGGGGACATGTGATGGGAAGATAAGCTACATGAGCTACGTGAGACCCCTAGGAATCCCTTCAAGAGGATACAAGAGGATACAATTACAGAGGAGGACTGTTTTTGGAGTGAGGTTCCAACGTAGTGGGTGAGTGATGACCGTGGGTTTTCCTGCAGGTCCTCTTTTTACACTCTACATACATTGGATCTGTATATTAGACTTTTATATATATTGAGTTCTCGCACTAGATTCCTAGGTGCCTAGAATAAGACAGTGCCTTAAATACTCAACCTGAAAATAAAAGAAGTAGGGGATTCCTAGGACAGGTCTGAAGATCGGGAGGAGTAAGAGAACAGGAGTTTCATGAAATAAGAGTAAAAACTTCAATAACAACATGAAAGGTAAAAATATCAAAGGGAGCGGGCCTAAGAACACCCAAACTGGTACGATTAAGAAGTATGTGTCACAAGGAAATGTTAGCCAGAAAGAACTCAGGGAATAAGTGAAAAAAGTGAACTGGAAATAAGTTTGGATAATAGCCCGAGACTTTCCCTGGGCCCAGTATATAATAGTCAAATGGAAGGCATTGAACTGAGAGAGCTTGAAAGAGATATGCAAATACCTAACAAAAAAGAAATGGCGGAGATGTTTAAAGGTTTGGAAAACTCAATAAAGCAAGAGAAGGGGATGATCCGGGAAGATCTGGGACAATTGTTAACTAGGGTGGAGGAAATGGAGGAGAAGGTTCAAGCCCAAGCCCAGACCATCCCAAAATTAGAGAAATGGATAATGGAAGATAGAAAAGAACAAAAGAGATTGCTTTATAGGATGGAAGAACAAGAAAATAGAGAAAAAGGAGAAATAATCTCAGAGTAAGAGGAGTTCCGGAACTGACACAGGGGGAAGATCTAAAAGAGCTATCTGGCAAAATCTTGAACTTCATAATGGATAAATCGGATGAGGAGATGTTTAAATTGGACAAAGTATACAGGATTGGGAAGTATCAGCAAGGAAAAGGGGTAGAAAAAACCAAGAGATATAATTGTTAAATTCCATAACTACGGAGATAGAGAAGAGATATGGAAAAAGATTAAAGGAAGAACAAATATTACATATGGAGGGAAAAGTATTCAAATTTTTGCAGATTTGACAGCAGAGACTCTGAGAAGGAAGAGATCACTGAAACCCCTACTAGAAGAGATGAAAAAACAAGGTGTGAAATACAGATGGGGCCGTGACATAAGCCTAATTGGGTGGAGGGATGGAACTACAGCTATTTTAAGATTCCCGGAGGATATGGAAGATTTTTGTGATAAATTTGGACTGCAGAGACAAGTGATATCTGGTTGGGAAGTGGAGGAGGGAGAGCTGGACATCTGTGGGTCAGGAAAGTGGCAGCTGGTTAAAAGAGGAAATAGAGAATCAATAGATAAGGGGACATTGGGGAGGAGGGGGGGGGAAGGTAAGCGGTCATGGGCAGAGTCAAACCCCTAATGAGGGATCAAAAGTGGAATATGATCCAAAGGCATAGGAGGCCTGGGGGGGGTAGGGAGGTGGGGGGGAGGAGAAGGCAGGGGGGGAGGGGCAGGGAGGGGGGAGGTTGGGGGGAGGTGAGGGCGGGAGGGAAATGGATAATAAGGGTAACACTCTGCAGGATAGAGAGAGGTATTAAAGCAAGGGTAAAGAGAAGGAGGATAGTTATGTGATCTCTAGCTAGAAAGGAAAAAAGAAGGATATAAAAAGGATGGAAGAATTACAAGTCATCACGTATAATGTAAAGGGGTTAAATTGTCCTGGGAAGAGATTTAGGTTATTTAAGGAATTACATCATCAAGCAGTTTCGGTGGTTTTTTTGCAGGAGACACATCTTGAGATAGAATCTAAGGTGAAGTTGAAATCTAGAGATTACCCAACATGGTATTATGCAGATTCCCCGATTAAGAGAGCTAAAGGGGTGGCAATAGGGCTCAGAAAAAATATAAGATTTGAACTGAAGGACAGAAAAGTGGACCCAGAGGGGAGATATTTGTTCTTGAAGGGTAAAATACAAGAGGTGGAGTGCACAGTAGCTAATATATATTGTCCAAATAAAAAACCAGAGGAGTACTTGAAGGGTGTGCTAAAAAAGTTGATGGATTTTAAAGAGGGTTGTCTAATAGTGGCAGGAGATTTTAATTTTTGTATGGATCCACAAAAGGATACAACTTCTAGTGTGCAGCGAGAGGGGAGTAGATCTTTGAGACTATTAAAGAAGGTGATCCATGAATGCCAATTGGTAGACGTATGGAGAATCTTGCATATGAAAGATAGAGACTACACATTCTTCTCAAATGCACATCAGATGTATTCAAGGTTGGACTATGTATTGATAGAACATCACTTTATAGAGTCAATGGTTAAAGCAGATATAGGAGTAATGACGCTTTCGGATCATGCCCCTGTTGTATTGAGGATGGGATGGGGAAGGAGGAGAACAGAAGGGGTAGGATGGAGGCTGAATGAAGCACTTCTCATGGACAAGGATATTGCACAGAGGATTGGGAAAGAAATTGAGAGATTCTTTAGAGAGAATGAGACAGAGGATGAGTCTAAGGCAACAGTATGGGAGTCTCACAAGACATATATAAGAGGAATCCTGATTGCTATTGGGGCAAGAAAGAAAAGAGAAAGAAGAGAAAAAATTAGTGGGTTCTTAAAGGATATATCGGAGCTAGAACAGATACACAAAAATAGTATGGTAAACGAAATTAAGCAGAAGATAACAAAAAAGAAAGAGGAACTGGAAACTCTGATGGAAGAGGAGAGAAGGAGAGTTTATAACAAAAAGTGCTAAGTGAGAATTACAAATGGGGAGATAGGCCAGGAAAATATCTAATGAGAACCTTAAGGAAAAAAAAAAAATAGGAATTATATAGATAAATTAAAAAGCCCCAAGGGAGAATTGGTTCACTCAAATAAAGAGATCGCAAAGATGTTTGTGGATTATTACAGGAAGTTGTATAATATCATCCCATATGACGAAGTAAATAATATGGAAAAGGAAAAAAAAAAGGGAAAAAAAAAAAGGAAGATTTATCTAAAAAATGCGGGATTACCGATAATAAAAGAGGACCAACTAAATTCCCTCGAAGCAGAGATCACACAAGAAGAGATAAAGGTAGTAGTAAAAAGCATGGAGATGGGGAAGAGCCCAGGACCGGATGGCTATACAGTAGGGTACTATAAAAAATTTAGTGAAATATTAACTCCCAAATTGGAAAAATATATGAACGCCCTGGGAGGAGAGATGGACATGAGGGGAGAATCTTTACAGGCTCATATGGTACTGTTACATAAAGACGGGAAAGATGCCTCGCAGTGTTCGAGTTATAGGCCCATCTCACTGTTGAATTTAGACACTAAGATATATGC